TGAACAGTAGAATCTCTGTCCAACTCTGGAACGAAGCATCTGTACATTCCCTGATCAGAAAGTTTCACTGGAGACAGTTTCAGTGAAATGTTTCCGTGCTGCAGTTCATCAGTGAACAGTGACGATCTCCTGCTGTACATTGCATGTTTATTGGACTCTAGTTCCACACCCTCGCGCCACACCAGGACAAATCTGGGGTTCAGGTCAGGCCTGGCCCACTCCACAGTCATGTCAAAAGCATCCATGACAGGCTTCAGGTAACACGGCAGAGTGACGTCACCACCAATGAGTGCCACTATTGGATGCAGTGGACCAATCACCTGCGACTGACCTGAACGGAGAGAGGTTTTAGTTTGTCATTTCTGCAGCACATACTTATAAATACATCCGTTCTTCATGTAAATATAAAGCAGACTGGTGTGTTTCATTTACCTCTACATGAGTATATCAGCGTGAGGACGACAGCAACGTGGAACAGCACAACGCTGGAAGCACCAAACCGTCTGACCGTCCCATAAACCATCCTGGAGATCTGTCAACAGAAACATAAGAGCAGGAAAGACTGATGATGTTGTTTGTGGGGCCCTGGAGACCATCACACCCTCCTCATCAGCTCAGAAAGTATTCTCAACATACATTTATCAGTCTCATACTTGATGACTTTCCCTGATTTTATAAGAAATGCTGAAGAACTTGATTTTTGTCTGATGGTAAATTCAGAAGTCTGCTTCCACAGGGTTTGACTGAACTGTACAAGTCTGACAGGCCACCAGGTCAACAAATATAAAATCACACCTGTTTGATCCACCAGGAGGCGCCGCCCTCTGCTGGCTGATAGAAAGAATGCAGGTTTCAGTCTGACAGGCATGTTTGTGTTTCTTTAAATCAATCACAGTCCTATTAGATGGAGTTAAAGGAAGAATCCCGCGACAGTGATGCAGCACATTCACTGTCAGAGCTGGAATCTACGTCCATCTTTAATATACAGTCTGTGGCGTGTCCTTGGAAACTCTTCATGTGGTCAGAAAAATACCACGTCTACATTTTTCTACAACTCTGAAGCCAAGAAAAGAAATCCAGATCCCAAGTGTTGAATTTATTGCCTTGAACAGAGCTCATAGGAGGAACAACTCAGGTTTTTATCTCTTTACAGTTTAACTGACACACATTTAGCAGAAAATGTACAAAGCCTTGCTATATAAATATAAATATAATATAGATATGAATGCACGTCTGCAGAACGTGTGACAGAGAGCAGTTTGTCACGTTTTAAACTCAGACTGACGATGTGAATGTTCACTAACGCTCACATGCAGCTGTGGGTGTGGCTGACCTCCTCACTGCTGCCTTTAAAGCTGCAGCTCAGTTCATGCGTAAATACGCGTGAAGCTGCAGACAGCCGGAGGTTGAGCTGAAGCATGATTTCATTTGAGGTCAGTTTCATCAGAACATTTCCACAAAACAACCTTCCGTGCTCTCTGTGTCCTTCATTGTTCACCTCGAGTTTAGTTTCACTTTTAATCGCAGCAACAAAGATCGATAATAAGAACAAAAATGAGGCAGATCGACTCTGAAACGTGCTGATTTAAAATGTTACACCGATGAACGTCCGGATTTGTCTGTTTGAAACATACACCGACACATGAAATGTACCTTTTCACGAGCACTCCTGCGTACCTGTCCGGTGTGTGGAGGTGTCCAGGTGACGTTATATAAACGGTCAGAGTCCGTCTGGAAGGGGAGGAGCACTGACTTTATTATGTTTGCAGGCAAAGTCTGGCAATAAACCAACACATCAGTGCACTGTGGAGGTTAGTTCACTCTGTAACATGCATGCAGTGATAAATGTAGCGCTGAAATCCAAACCAACAGCCCAGTGGCTCAGTGTACACATGAATAAAACATACAGATGGACGCACACACACATGACTGCAGCCCTTGGACACTGAAGTTCAGTTTCACAGTCTCTTTACTCTTTAATCATGAATTCTCATATTTTATTTTTATATATTGGATAAAATCTTTTTTTTTTCTGCATCCACGCCAGCAGAGGGCAGCACAAGTCAGCTACAGTCCATTCATCTCTTGTCTGAGGTTGACTCAGAGCTTTGTTTTCATTCCAAAACAAATTCTTGTGTCGCTCAGGAATGTAGATTGACATCATATGAGGAAGTCTAATAGAAAAACACAAAATAAAGAAGCAGAATTGAGACTAGAAGAGAAAAGTAAAACTGGCAATGAGAAAAGTAATATCACACAAAATATCCAAATAGAGCACAGAGAGTATGAGGAAAAGTATTATTGCAAAAGACAATAATTAAACTCGTGATGTTTCGGCTGTCCTTCCTGCAGATTGAGCCTCAGCACAAGAGTTAGCAGCACATTGGCAAAAATCAAACACCATCATTATCGTGAGTTTATTCACGGCTTCAGCCATCAGGAATCTCCGTTCTTCTCCTCATGCAGCACATCACCGAACAACACCAGTCACCTGACATATAAGAAACGTTGGTAACTGCTGAGCGGCGTGTCCGAGGCCCTGAAAAACCGATTGATGCTGAACGCCTCAAACTGTGGAGCTTCATGTGTCGTGTCTCAGCGAGTGTGGTGGCGGCTGAGGTCAGGAGGCCTTAACGAGGGAATTAAATGAAGCATCACAGCATGATGAAGTGATGCATCAGCCAGGTCTTCAACAGAGTGAAGGTGTGGTCGCTGTGGTTGTGTTTTATTTACAGTCAGGAGCTCCAGACGTCTGTGAACTGGTGATGGAAATGCGACCAGGGGTTTGTCAACACTGAGCTCCAGACGTTGATTTGGGGCAGAATTCAGTCACGCTCAGTCAATTTCTAGATCCTGATTTATAGGTTTCACCAATGACGTGTGGAGTTTTGTGGGTTTTTTGAGCCGATGCCGATTATTGGTCATCAAGAAAAGCCGGGACCAGATATCTGGAGCCGACGCACATTAAATGTAATGTGTCATTCATGACTCGGCTCCTTCATGAATAAGGGCGACCGTAACTGAACAAAACACAAATAGAGAGGATAATGGAAAATGGAAAAAAAAAACAGCTCATAGACCTGATCCTGTTCAGAGTCGGAGCAAGAATCAAACAGTGATCTGTCCTTCAGACGTTACAGCTCCAGAACTCTCACGAAGCAAACAGGAACTGGTCAGTCCAGTGCAGTTAAAGCCAGACGGAGACAAAGTAAAAGGGCACCTCGCTGCAACAAATACAAAACACACAGTCGGGCGACAAATTAAAGGAAAAACCCTGAATCCTTTCACCCTGTTGTGCCGTCAAGGACATTTTACCGCCACAGTTTTGTGTATTTAGAAGGAAAGGTCACCTCTACACTCTGATATATCTGCTCAGGTGTATTTTGAAAGGCATTTATTGGAACTCTTTGTTGTACTTGGATCAGACGATCTAGAATTTTGCTTTTGTGGCACAACCTGTCAAACCTGCTCGATCGGTTGACAAAGTCAAACCCAGTTTTGGATTTTTGTGACCAAGTGTTTGGCATTAAAAAGGATTCTGTATGTTGTGTATGACTGTGACATGCAGTCTGGTCCAGACACATGTCCCCGGGTGACTTCTGCAGCATCAGGTTTATTTATTTATTTTTTAATATGTTCTCAAAGATGGAGCTTTTCATCAAGGCTTGATTTATTTTTTTTACATTTTTCACCCCATAGTCAGAGAAAATTTGATCTATTTGTCCAATATTACAGATTCTGAATCAGTGGCATGAAGAGAAACAGCAGCAAAAATAAATCAGGTTTTTATCTTTAATAATATCTGAGACGATCAAACAGCCTCAAATTTCAACGTGAGGAAAAAACCTGCTGAAAGTGGCTCGATGGATAGTTTTATTTTAGTTTGGACTTTAATCTTGCAAAGTATTTGACATATCAATCTAAAATTTCACAAATATCTCGATAAAAAAACACATTTTATGCCACGAATGTTGCTCTTTGAGCAAAGTTAAATGAAGTCTGTACGTTCATGTGTCACATTTGAACACATTTATGAATAAAGACAATTAAAAGCCACAAAACAATCAGCCTCATTGCAACAAAACTCATTATGTGGTTTGTATGTTTGTTCAGGGCTTTCCTAAGGTGTGCAGCCGAACGAGAGCGTGTCGAGGCCAACGCCTACAGCTGCACAAAAAAAACAGCGTGACGTGAGAAACCTGAAGCTGCCCTGCAACTCCTGCTGTAGGAATCCGACGGATGCTTTCATAAAGCTGCCGTTCACGTCTCTGTGCGGCGCCTGATCTTGTCTCAGTCCCGCTTCAGAAGGCAGCTCTGGTCGTCTGCTCACCTCTGAAGCGTCCGTCTGAAGGTCGTCTTCGTGTCCAACATCTGCATCGACATGAGGATGGCGTCTTTGCTGCTGGGTGTCATGTTGGCTCTTGTCCAAGCTGCTGGTGAGTGTTCATTTAAATACATCCACATTCAGCAACTCTGGCTGCTTGGCACACGTCTGGATAGATTTTAAATGAGCAGCGTCTGTGGCTTATGTCACTAAAGAGCAGCAAAAATCTGTTTTTATTTACCAGCGAGACATCCCATAGACACTTGTAACCACACGTTTACATACACCGTATAAGAAGACCTTTATTTTCTCTCACTATCTGACATTAAATCAGACAAAGCTTTTCTGTTTTACGTCAGTTGGGATGACCTAAATTATTTCTATTTGCCAGAATAATGAGAGAGAGAATTTCTTCAAACTATTTGAAGGCTCACCTGTGGGTGTATTTTAAAGCACACCTCAAACTGCCTCCTTTTGTGACAACATGAGAAAATCTAAAGAAATCAGCCAGAAATCAGGTTACGTGTCTTTTTAAACGCTGTATGTAAACTTCTAGTTTAACTATATGGATTCAACCAGCCAGTGTTTTTCATTTTGTACGGCTAGCGGGGCCTGGAAGATAAATAAATCCAGAGAAAATAAGTTTTCATTTTCAAACACGTTCTGTCTTTTCTGTCCTTCATCTCGTCCGGGTGCAACGATGGAACGTCCGACAACGCCAGTGATTCCAGAAGGTGAGTCTGAACTCCATCAGATTAGTTTTTATCTGTCATCAGACACAGTGTGAAGCTGTGGGATTGTTTAAAGCGAGAGAGATGGAAGTAAATAACCAACACTCGCTATGAAACAGAGGTGAGTGCATCCTGTGCAGCGTCACTGATTATTCCACCAGTTCTGAGTATTTGCTGGAAAGTCAAATCAAAAACTGACATTTTGAATCTACTACATTAAAAAACGAGGCCCCATAGTGGGAAGTCAGTGCAACAAAACTTTATTTTTATTGTTTTATTTTATTTTTCAGTACTTGACATATTCACCTTCATGTCTTCATTTTGGTTTATACGACGCTCCTCCTCCAGACGGCACAAATGATCCTGAGAAATCAGGGAAACAAACCTCCACAGAGGTTCCCAGATTTAGAATGAAGCTTAAAATGTGAATTATTCTGGCTCTAACGATAAAATAGACAAATTACAGAGGTACACATCAGTAACGGCGATGTTGAAATCTCCATCGTGTACAGACGAAGTCAGCGTGTTGATATAAAAAGTCGTTTTTCTTGGACTACAATTCGATAATCGATGTCACAGAACAGAAACACAGAGAAAAAGTTCACTTTCTAAGTATCCTGAGGATGCCCTGGAGATTTACAGTCAACCTTTCTTCTGTGTTCGTCTTCAGATGATTATGACGACTGGTCTCTATCGTGCCCTTATGGGTGGACCATGTACAGGACTCGCTGCCTCCTCTACGTTCCAAGAAACATGACCTGGACTCAAGCTGAGGTAACCACGATGACTCCTGATTCAGAATGAATGTTTTCACGCTAAATTTACGCCTCACGCTCGGAGGCCTGCACAACTAAGCAAGTTAAACAAACCCAGTGTCGCTAAGGGCTCATGAGTGTCACTACTTTGGCTACAGGTGACCAATCACAAACATGGACAGAAGAGGGCGCTATAATCCTAAATCAGCAGCTTTAATGCAACCTGTTCAGCACATGTGATGTCAAATGATCAAAACATCAAAAAAATAGTTAAAACTCATGAACAGGCTTATTTGCAATTCAAGAAAACGAGGGAAGACATGAACATGCCAACAAATCCAAGGCGTCCTTTAGATTAGCAGCATCTGGGGACAGTCAGGAGAAGAAATCAGGCTCAGGGAGGGCAGACGTCTGCATCGACTGGTTGGAGTGACGGTAAAGAGGAGAAAACAGGGCAGTAGATGGAGTACAGAGGATGCAACTGAAAACTGAAGCTCTCCTCTCAGAGAATCTAGAAGCAGATTCAAACGGATTCTAAACCCCCTCTTCCTAAAAAGAAGACACGAGTGAAGAAGTGATGCTCTGAAAACCCAGAGTTAAACCTGAACATACTGCGCTACCTTCAGATTTAACTGCTTTGGCTTCTCTGCTATTTCACTCCAGGAGCACTGTAAGGCCATGGAGGGAACGCTTGCATCGGTGTACGACGCCGGCCACGCCAAAGAGATCCGAGAGCAAATGCAAAGCTTTGGGGAATCACATGGAAAAGTGTGGGTTGGAGGCCACAACACCCCAGAGGTAGACCGAGCATCACGACTTAACATCTGGTATTTAATGCTCCTTATACTTCACATACATTCAGAAAATCTTTCTTCTTGTCCAACAGAATCCTTCCTGGTCCTGGAGCGATTTTTTAGGTGTCCATCAGTTTACCCAGTTTTGTGGCGGACAGTCTGCAAAGAACGAGCACCACTGTCTGCAGCTCACCTTCGCAGGTAAACCCACCAGCATCGACAACAACAACATGGTGCAAGTTACTCAGGATCTGCAGGGCGACGTTGTTTCCTCGGCAATATTTAAATTGCACATCATTAGAGAAGCTAAATTTGAGTTGCACTAGTTAAGTCCTGCGCTTTTGATCTTGCAGAAACAGGAAGTGGATGCCTGGATTACATGCACTGTGACGCCGAGCTGCCATCCGTCTGTAGCATCGTACTCATGTAGCCGCTGAGCTGAAACGGACGTCTCATTTTCCAGCTGCATTTCTGCTTAATGCTGCACAAACAGCTTGTCTTGTAGATGAGAGCACACTGAATGCTTTCTGCACTTTATTCTGCACACTGAGCTGCACTTTTTTAAAAAATCAAACATTTAAGCATTGAAAGAAGATTTTTTTTCATTCATGATGAACTTGAGGTCCAGCATGTTTGCCGTGAGCCTGATCAGGACCGTCGCAGTAAATGCATCGGCGGTGGGAGTGTGATGATTCAGGGATGCATGAGTGCAGAAGGTGGTGAGGAGACGACGTTTCTGGATTAACGTCTGTGGATAAAACAAAACGCTGTCTGACAAGATGCCTCCCAGTCCGCAGAAGGGAGTGTCTGCAGAAGAATAAACAGAAAACTGCCCTGGTTTAGATTTACAATAAAACATTTTAATTTTTTTTCAACGGTTCATATGTTGCAATATGAAAGATGCAGGTGTTAAAAACAGGAAAAGAAGGCCTCCGACAGTGATTCAGCTTCATGCAAAGCATCCGACAGTGACACGGTGCAGATAATGCAGCACAGTGAAGCAATCTTTTTTCAACTTCTCCTTTAACTTCACTTGATTCTGTACAAAATGCGTCAAGGCAGCGAGACATGAAGGTTACTGAGTGACTGATACTAAACTAACAAAGAGCTTGAAGTGCTCAGGAAAATGTATCTTCATGTTTTTATATCTATCAGTGTGATCAAACTGAAATGTATTCGTGGGCTTTTTATTAATAAAAGAAATTCTCACAAAAACACTTTGCTGGTGTCCCTGTGCATCGTCACACCAAGTTTCCTTTCAGGAATTTAAACTTCTTCGCCTTTGAACAGCAGCTAAAACTAAATAAAATCTAAAGTCGAGACGCCGCTTGTGCATCAAGTGACCGTCTGCTTGAAGGCGGTTCAGAAGGTATCAGGGATTTTTAAAACAACGTTTAAAGAAGTTCTGTTAAAGGACGGCGTCAGGTCCAAATTTAAAATATATCTGCGCGTCACACTGCGTGCTGTCCAATCAGACGGACTGCATGAACACGGTTCTAAAATGTGAACAGCAGAACTTTCTCAGTTTTGGACCCGTGCGTTGGATCGATCTGCACGTC